ACAAAAAAAGGAAACAAAAAAAGCAAAAAAAATACCCAAACAGAAAATTGCAAAAGAAAAAAAAAAACAAAGAAAAGATGGGAGGGTAAAAGAAAAATAAAGCAAGAGAAAGTAATAATAAAAATGCTATTTATAATTTGTAAAGGAATAAAGAGGGGGAAGAAAATACGAAAAGTATATATAAATAATAGGAGAACAGCTGGGGAGTATTTTCAATTAATAATGTACAGTGCAATAATATTATGTACTATTTGTTAGGATATTTCCGTTCCACCTTAAAAGGGAGCAGGCTTTGTGAGTCAGAGTCTGCGTATTTCCTGTTCACAGGATGTTTATGTTTTCTGTTGCTTTCGTTTTCTCTCTGTGTCGCAGACACTAAAAGCAGGCAGTCATGTTTTTCTGTGTTCTGATCAACGCTGAATAAACTTGTAAATAATGCTCTCCTGATTGCAACTTTTGGCTGTGCATTATCTGCTGATAGAGTGTGCATGAGCTCTGGAATGTGGCAAGATATTTTCTAGAAACTCATGTCGCTGCGTGCCTACGGGAGGTCGATGGATCGTCCGGCAGACGGCTTGGGGGCCTTGATGGACTTTATCTCCCTGGCAGTATCCCAACAACAGGTTATGGGCCCAGATTCACAGCACTTACAGGAGAGTAGGACTGCGACAGACTGCTGAAAGGTATGTGGAGGAAAAGCGAAAGTGAGGCTTTTCTGTTTGCCGAGGCAAGGGCCTTTGAACTCCGGCAGACTAATGGATCTGGGAGCCGTGCCAAAGGCTTCGTGGTTAATGAGCTGCTGAGATAAGACGTCTCTGAAGTGAATAAGACTCACGGCTCAAATAAAAAGCTGTAATGGAGTTTTTCCAAGCTTCTGAGGCTGCTGAGTGCCCAAAGCTAAATCGGCACAATTATAAAGCCTGGGCTGTGTGGTGTGAGAGTTTGCTGCGTCAGTTTGGAGTGTGGCATACTGTGTGTGAGGCCCCTCCAGTTCCTCTGACAGATAGATGGAAGGCCGAAAATTCGAAGGCGATAGACGTAATAGTCTTGTCCGTCTCTCTGGAGGAAATAAAAACGCTTGCTGGCAACGTCACTGCAAGTAAGATGTGGAATGCTTTGAAAGTAGCCCATCTGCCAGTCATCCCAGCCCAGAGTTTGACTGCATCGGAGGTCCTGGCTGTTTCCCAGAATGCAAGTCAATGCAGGGATGCTGAGGGCACCGGTTGCAAGCTGCAGGGGGAGCTGACTGTCACGTCATCCCAGGCAGCATTCCAGCCTCCAGGGGGAGCCAAGGAGTCGGCAGCTGAAAGCTCTGTTTCTCATGGGAGCCAAGGTCATCCTCACAGATACCGGAAGGTGAGAGGTAAACAGAGGCAGACGCCTGCAGATGGCCAGAAGCAGAGGGAGGGTGAAGAGCCCAAGCCAGAGAAAACCAAGGTTTTGTTTGCTGGCACAGCTTCAACAAAGGCCAAACACAAGTCTGATGGCCAGGAGCAGGGGGGCAAGCTGCAAAAGCCCACGCCGGTGGAAAACAAGGTTTTGTTTACTGGCACAGCTTCACCAAAGGCTAAAGGCAAGTCTGATGGCCAAGAGCAGGGGGGCAAGCTGCAAAAGCCCACGCCGGTGGAAAACAAGGTTTTGCTTGCTGCAAAGGCTGCTCCAAAGGCCAAAGCCAGGTTTGTTGTTGATTCAGGCTGTACCCGCCATGTCTCGAAAGACCGCCACCTATTTATCTCCTTCAAACCTCAAGAAGGTGAGATCCACCTGGCTGACGGAAAGACATTGCGGATCGCAGGAGAAGGGACTGTGAGACTGGCAAGTCTGCACACTACCATCAAAGATGTACTGTATGTTCCAGGTGCTGCAGACAATTTGCTCAGTGTCCCACAGCTGACTGGGCGTGGTTTTGAGATTTCTTTCAAGAGGAGCGTCTGTGTCATCAGAAAAGGCAAAGAGGACATTTTGCATGCAAAGTTTATGGATGGCTTGTTCTGTATAACTTATGATGACAATGGTGCTGTTGTGTCTAATGCTGATTCTTGTTGTGTTGCACAAACTAACAAAGTTCTTCATGCAGGATGCATTCACGATGCACATCGAAGGTTTTGTCACCTCTCTTGGAAGGCACTGGCCAAGATGCCAGAGATGGTTGAGGGTTTGAACATCAAACCCTGTAAGTTTCACATGAAATGTGTATCTTGTGGAGAGAACAAGGTGAAGGTTGCTCCAAAAGGCAAGGAGTCTAGTAGGCAGGCTTCCAAACCCTACCAGCTAGTGCACGCAGACCTGGTTGGTCCACTTGCGCCCTCTTTGGGTGGAGCAAGGTACTTCATGGTTCTAATTGATTCTTTTTCCAGGTACATTCATGTGTTTATGCTCGAGCAGAAATCGCAAGCGTTTCCTAGGTTCAAGGCATTCTGTGCTTGGTTGGAGAATGCTCACAGTAAACGTATCGGCTGTTTGTTTACTGATCGAGGCGGGGAGTTCACTTCTCAGCAGTTTGAAGCTTTCCTGACTGAGAAGGGAATTCAGCATGACTTGTCAACGCCTAGATCGCCATGGATGAATGGGCTTGCGGAGCGAGCAAATCAAACGTTGCTGCAAGGAATGAAAACATTGTTGCATGATGCCAATCTCCTGATAAGTTTTGGGGGGAGGCTCTGTCGAATTTTGTTTACACTTTTAATCGCAGATTGTCATCACCTATTGGTTGTACTCCCTATGAGAAGATGTTTGGTAAGAAACCCAACATCAAACACATGAGAATCTTTGGTTCTGACATGTGGGTACACACCCCACAGAGCAACAAGCTTGGGAAGCGTGGGGCACATGGTTTGTTCATGGGGTACGAAAAAGGTGCATACAGGGTATGGATGACTGACTCTAAGTCCATTAAGTTCACAAAGAGTGTTGAGTACAATCCTAAGTGGGGGGAAAATGTGGGAATTTTCCAGAGTTACCCGGAGGAGGATGAAGGTGATGTGAAAGAAGCAGCTAAAGCTGAGGAAGCTGCTGAGGATGATGATGACGATGATGATCAGAGTTCGGATTCCAGTTCAGTGGGCGGCGCTGCTGCTGATGTCAGCGACAGTAATGACACAGCAGACTACAAGAGCGCAAAGGCCTCAGTCAGACCATCTGATGCGTCTGACAATGAACTGGAAGAACCACTGTTCACCATTGGTCGCTTTTCTCCTAAGAAAGAGGAGATGAGTCCAGAAGACTTGCATCTAGTACGCAGATCTGAGAGAGCGACCAAGGGCAGACCTCCAAAGAGATTTGCTGATGCGTTTGCTAAGACGGCAACTGCTGTTCTTAGTAGCTCAGAGAAGGTGTGGGAACCTTCAAGCTTCAAAGAGGTTCAGGAGTTAACCTCTAAAGATGCTGAGCCTTGGCTTAATGCCATGAAGGCTGAAGTTGATTCCTTGAACAGGAACCAAACTTGGGAGTTGGTACCAGTAGTCCCAGGAATGAGACTGGTAGGCAGCAAATGGGTCTTCAAGGCCAAGACAGACCAGAATGGCAAGGTTGTCAGACACAAAGCCAGATTAGTTGCCAGAGGTTTTTCACAGGTACCAGGACAGGATTACCACGAGACCTACTCACCCACCGTCAAATATGAGAGCATTCGGCTGATGCTCAAGATAGCTGCGGAGGAGAAACTGCATGTTTCCCATCATGACATTAATACAGCTTTTTTGTACGGGATTCTGGGGGAGGAGCTGTTTATGCTTCCACCTGATGGAATGCAGATACAGAAGGGAATGGTCTGTAAACTGCGGAAATCCTTATATGGTCTCAAGCAGAGTGCCAGATGTTGGAACACGAAACTCACTGAGACATTGCTTTCTCTAGGTTTTCACCAGGGTAAAGCTGATCCATGTGTGTTTGTCAAGGAGGAGGGGCAAAACAAACTGTATTGTTTATGTTTTGTTGATGATCTTCTGTGGTTTTGGAAGAATCAGGCTTTTATCAAAGCACCCTAGCTCAGCTGAAGGAGCACTTTGACATGAAGGATCTTGGTGAGGTATCCAACTATCTTTCTCTGCAGGTGGAGAGGGACCAAGCAGGTAATTTTCTGGTACACCAAACACAGAAAATTGCTGATGTATTAACCAGGTTGAATTTGGTTGATGCAAACCCAGCAGACACACTGATGGTGACAGGTTACCAGGTAGATAGTGTGAGAAGAACCTGAGCTTACAGGGTTAAACAGCTCAGACTGTACGCCCTGCCTACTAGTGGGAGGGGGGAAATGCTACGTCAGTTCCGAGAGACTCAAGTCTTTGTTCTGTCTCTCTACTTTCGCTTTTGAGGAGAGAGGACGTGTTTTCGCGATGCTGTTCGCTGTGATAGATAATGGATAGCCTGCTGTAAATAAAGCTGCTTTTAGCTGCTAAGATCCTGTGTGGAGTTTATTTAAGCACACTGAAGAATGCACTGGAGTGTTTTGGTTTCCTCTAGCCGCTGACGAACTCTGCTATGCTCAGATGTCGGATCATTGGAATGCAGAGGCCCGTGATGGGGGAAGCGTGCCGGACGCTTATCTGAGCAATAAATCAAGATACCTCAGAGGTTATGGGGGCAGTAATTGCAATTAGAGGAAGCCTGCTTTGATGTGCTGTGTGCTTAAGAAGGCTGAGAAAACTGAGAAGCTGTTGTTTTGCTGCCGGAATGCAAACGTCCTTTGAGGCTTCGCCTGGGAGAAAAAGCAGGCAAGCTGTGTGCTGCAAAGCTGGATGCAAGCTGTGTGCTGCAAGGAGCCACTGGAGGCCTCTCCTTTGAAGCTGGCTGGTACGCGTGAGTACTTCAAAGCCCCAATGGTAGCACTGGGGAGGAGATGGCTGTGCTCCATGTCTTTTATGATGTCCCGTTTGTAAATCTCACAACCCAGTCCTGGGTTATCTGGGTTAGAAGAGTCAGGGGGTGGTTTTTGGCCACAGGGTTCTGGGATATAGCCCAGAAGGAGCCAGCCCCACCCATGCCAGTTGCTGCTGAAGAAGGAGGAGCAGAACTGGAGGCTGCTCTCCTGGAAGATAGAGAGCTGAGAATGCAAAGGGAGCTCTGCATGTTGAGAGCAAGCGTGGACGCTATGCTGTTGCCCCACCTGGAGGGCATTGAGTCGGCTCAGGCCGCCTGGCAGGTGCTGAGGAGTCTGTGTGATAGCTCAGCAGGAGCCCAGGGCCTGGAGAAAGCCGAGAGCAGGCAGGAAGCTGAGAGCCCAGAGGGGGCTGCTGGCCATGTTCCTAAAGTTACAGCTGGGAGTAGCTGCTTTGTCTCCGAGGGGCCGTGTGATGTTGAGGCCTACAACCAGAGTGCTGGGGAGCGTGCAGGCCCAGGCTGTGCACCCAAAGGTGGGGGTGCTGGGAACAAAGAAATGGCTGAAGAGGGAGCTGTGAGAGCTGTTGCTACGCGTCGCCGCTGTTATCGCTGTGGCTCCCCCTCCCATCTGGTGAGAGAATGTCCAGTGGAGGAACAGCCGAAGGCCGTTTCCCGTAGCAACCAGATAAAGAGCTCGTCTTCAAAGCGTGGGAAAGGCAAGCCGAAGGCAGCTGGCAGAGACACTGAACGTAAACATTTGGCTGCCTCTATGGCTGTAGTCAAAAGTTGTCAACAGGATGCTGTGTTAGCTTTTGTGGTCGACTCAGGAGCCTCTCATCACCTGGTGCCATCTGGTGGATTCCTGGAGAACTGCACCTCTGTAAAATCTGGGAAGACTGTCTGTTTAGCAGATGGGACTCGACACCCACTCACGCAGAGTGGCTTACTGTTTTGTTCTTTCTTGCAGGACTCAATACAGGCTTTTGTTGTTCCAGGACTGTCCTGCGCGTTGCTGTCTGTCAGTGCACTTCTTGCTGAGAACTACAGAGTGTGTTTTGAGAACAATAAGTGTTCTATTTCCAAGAATGGACAGCACCTAGTCAGTGTTGAATGTAAAGACAGGTTGTTTGTGATAAATGCTTCTTTTGCAGGTCCAGATGACACGGATGACACGGAGGAGGCTCAAGCGCAGTGTGCCAATGTTCCAGTTCATGATGCGTGTGCACATCTCTGGCACCGCCGCATGTCACACGTGTCGTGGGGGTCGGTGAGAAGGATCCCAGAGTATACGCAAGGGTGCAAAATGAAACCATGTGCCAAGTTTCTAGATTGCAGAGCGTGCAAGTCCGCAAAGGTGAAAACGTGCACATACCCTAGGTCTGAGAGGGTGACCACTAGGGCTTTTCAATTAATTCATGCAGATTTGTGTGGACCGTTTTCTGTGAGCAGTTTGGGCGGAGCCAAATTTTCGCTGGTTCTGATTGATGACCATACGAGGAATTCTTGGAGTTTTTTGCTTCGGCGCAAAGATGAAGCTGCGCCGCTAATCAAAGACTGGATTGCGGCTGTGGAACTGCAGTTTTCCACACGGGTGCAAAACTTTCAGAGCGATCGCGGTGGGGAGTTCACCGGGTCTGCACTGCAAAGTTTCTTCCGCAAAAAGGGATTCAACACAGGTTGACATCTCCACACAGACCCCAACACAATGGGATCGCGGAACGCAGGAATAGGGCTCTAGGGAGATGTCCGCAGCTCTTTTGTTTGATGCCGGGCTCCCACAGCGCTTTTGGGGGGAGGCTTGGCGAACGGCCAACTTTGTTCTGAACAGGTCGTTCAATTCAGTGGTAGGTGACACACCGTACTTCTTGCTCCATGGCAAGAAACCGAATGTGCACTACTTCCGCGTTTTTGGCTGTGAGGCTTGGGTCCCCATACCAAAGGCCAAACGCAAGAAAGGTGAACCCAGGTCCCAAAAGATGATTTTTTGTGGGTATGAGCCAGGGACCAAGGGGTGGAGGTTTGCGTATCCGTCAGGGAATCAGTCCAGGATTCTGCTCAGCAACAGTGCTGAATTCTGTGAGCAGAGTGGCTGGGCAAGGATACATGGGAACCCTGACATCCTGTCAGAGAGTCTGCTAGACTCTGCTGATGAAGGAGAGGAAGAGGTTGAACCTGCTACTGAGGCTCAGAGTCCAGGCCCAGTGCAGGCAGAGGGGAGAACTTCTCCCAAGGCTGTGAAGAGTGAGCAACGCAGTGCTCCATCTTCCCCACAGGTTCGGCTGAGAAGTCCAGAAGGCGCAGTAAGTCAGAGGGGAGCTCTCTGATGCCAAGGACGTTCTGGCTGGCCCTAGTGGGTCAGAGGGGTTCCTGAAGTAGTGCTGCGCCGTTCAACACGGACGACCAAGGAAACCTCCTGAAAGGTTTGCCGTCACTAGTGTGTGGGTCGGAATGGCACAGTGTGAACCCGAGAGTTTTGAGGATGTTCAGAAACTGCCTCAAGAAGAAGCCAGGAAATGGCATGAGGCGATGCAGAAGGAGATGAACTCAATGGAGTCTCTAGGTGTGTTCTCCCTCACGAAGTTGCCGGTGGGTGAAAAGGCAGTGGGTAGCCGCTGGGTTTACCGTCTTAAGCCCACAGCGGCAGGAGAACCGCAGTATAAGGCCAGATTAGTGGCGAGAGGATTCACGCAGCAGAGGGGTTGCATTATACGGAGAGTTATGCGCCCACGTGTAGGAGTGAATCTCTACGCTTGATCTTGGCCATCGCTGCACAAAGAGGTTTGCTGGTGCATCACTTTGATGTGGATGTTGCTTACTTGAACTCAGACCTCCAGGAGGATCTGTACATGCTTCCTCCTCCAGGGTTTGAGGGCAATGAGCGAGGTACTGTGTGGAAACTTCACAAGTCAATTTACGGCCTGAAGCAGTCGGCCAGGAATTGGAACTTGTGCCTGAATGAAGCTTTGGAGAAGCTAGGTTTCAGGAAGAGTCTTGCTGACAGTTGCCTGTTCCTTAGAGGATCAGGAGACTCACAGGAACTGGTGTTGTTTTACGTTGATGACATCATCCATGTTGGAAAGGCAGACAAACAGGTGCAGAAGTTTGCCAAAGAGCTTGGGAAACGGTTTCAGCTCAAGGACCTGGGTGCAGTAAAGATCTACCTAGGTGTCCAGATAGCGAGAACTGAGGATGGTAGCTTCTTGCTCAGTCAGAAAGGCAAGATTGAGCAGTTGCTGGAGAAGTTCAGAATGTCCGATTGTGCAGGAGTTCGGACACCCATGGAGACAAACTTCGTGAAAGATAGCCAGCAAGCAGAAAGTGCTGAGTTCGAGAATGCTGAGCTCTTTCAGTCAGCTCTAGGTAGTCTGTTGTATCTGTCCCAATGGAGCAGACCAGACATTGCCTTTGCTACCAACCTGCTAAGTAGGGAAGCGTCAAAGCCCAGTGTGAGTGCTTGGCACGGTATCAAGCGGGTACTGCGCTACCTGCAGCATACCAAAGACTTCTGTCTTAAGCTGCCAGCTGAAGGTGAGGCGAAGCTCACATGCTATGTGGACAGTGACTGGGCGGATTCGCAGGACCGCAAGTCTGTGTCTGGGTTGGTGATAAAGTTTGGGAAGTCACTGGTTGGGTGGAAGTCCCGGAAGCAAAGTCTCATTGCGCTGTCTTCTACTGAGGCTGAATTCAGTGCACTGTCAGATTTGTGCCGAGAACTAGAGTTCTATAGATGCTTGGTGCAAGAGATCTATGGGGATTGTAGCTTGCCCATCACGGTTTGGGAAGACAATCAGCCTTGTTTGAAGTTGGCTGAATCTGCGCAATTTAAGGCGAGAACCAAGCATCTGGACATACGTTTCCAAAATGTGTGTCAGAGTGTTCAGTCAGGTTTGATACGACTGAAGTACTGTGCCAGTCACAGTAACCTGGCCGATGGATTTACCAAACCTTTAAGCTTCCAGCGTCATGGGGAGTTTTGTGGTGGTTTGGAGTTGGGGGTAAGTTCTGTACTTACTGTCCCCACAGTAGCGCAGGGCGAGAGGGGGTGTGAGAAGAACCTGAGCTTACAGGGTTAAACAGCTCAGACTGTACGCCCTGCCTACTAGTGGGAGGGAGGAAATGCTACGTCAGTTCCGAGAGACTCAAGTCTTTGTTCTGTCTCTCTACTTTCGCTTTTGAGGAGAGAGGACGTGTTTTCGCGATGCTGTTCGCTGTGATAGATAATGGATAGCCTGCTGTAAATAAAGCTGCTTTTAGCTGCTAAGATCCTGTGTGGAGTTTATTTAAGCACACTGAAGAATGCACTGGAGTGTTTTGGTTTCCTCTAGCCGCTGACGAACTCTGCTATGCTCAGATGTCGGATCATTGGAATGCAGAGGCCCGTGATGGGGGAAGCGTGCCGGACGCTTATCTGAGCAATAAATCAAGATATCTCAGAGATAGTACTGCTGAAGCGTTTTCTGACACAATGCTGTACAGATGCATTCTAGGCAAGTTGAATTTCATTGCTAGATGCTCAAGACCTGACATAGCTGTAAGCTGTAACCTGCTTAGCAGACATGCCAACAATCCTACTGTTCAGGATTGGAAAGCTCTGAAGCGCATAGCCCGCTATTTGAAAGGGACTTTGCACTACAGACTGAGGTTCACCAGTCAGAAGACTGGAGGTCTTGAAATCTTTGCAGATGCAAGTTTTGGAAGTGACACCACGGATGGTACAAGCACTTCTGGAGTATGCTACATGTACAACCACTGCCTGTTTGACTGGTTGTGCAAAAAGCAGACGACAGTGAGCCTAAGTTCCTGTGAAGCAGAACTCAATGCTCTGTCATTTTCACTCATGGATTGTGAATGGTTGATGCAACTGTTTAAGGACATCAGAGTTTCTGTGAAATGTCCTGTACAAGTGTATCAAGACAATAGATCGTGTTTGGCTTTGCTGAACTCGGAGAGTTGCAAGCAAAGGACCAAGTACTTGCAGATTAAGCTACATCGTGCAAGAGAGTGTATTCAGAAGGACTCATTCAGGTGTCCTACATGCCAGGAAATGAAATTCCTGCTGATCTGTTGTCTAAGGTTGTTAACAGAGAACAACTTAAGGTTTACGTACAAAGGTTGCAATTGGGTTGAACCACAGGTACTACAGGTTACACGGAAAGGGGGAGGATGTTAGGATATTTCCGTTCCACCTTAAAGGGAGCAGGCTTTGTGAGTCAGAGTCTGCGTATTTCCTGTTCACAGGATGTTTATGTTTTCTGTTGCTTTCGTTTTCTCTCTGTGTCGCAGACACTAAAAGCAGGCAGTCATGTTTTTCTGTGTTCTGATCAACGCTGAATAAACTTGTAAATAATGCTCTCCTGATTGCAACTTTTGGCTGTGCATTATCTGCTGATAGAGTGTACATGAGCTCTGGAATGTGGCAAGATATTTTCTAGAAACTCATGTCGCTGCGTGCCTACGGGAGGTCGATGGATCGTCCGGCAGACGGCTTGGGGGCCTTGATGGACTTTATCTCCCTGGCAGTATCCCAACACTATTATGTTCTCACTGGATGTTACTCTTCCAGAGGCAGCAGGAATGTTATTCCAGTAATGGGGTATTACAACAGGACTCCAACTCACTGCAAGACGAAGCAAGATGGAAGCCCCGAACAAAAGAAGATCCCCAACTTTTATTAGCTACTAATCCCCGATGCTACACCCCTAAGACTACATCATAACTA